TCGTAAGTTCGGTTCCCGGTACCAAAAAAACCAAAATTTTAAAAAAAAAAAAAAAAAAAAATCTAAGCAGTCAACGCATTTGACTTCATGTAGTTCTAACAATGAATTCAAATTCTCAAATGCTAATTCAAAATTCTAAATCTGATTTCTATAAACATCAAATCTATGGTTGGTAGCTTGAGAGGTAATCTCAATGCTTCTGGGGGTAAAACAGAAGGGTATCAGGCATGAAAGGCTTATAGCTTTACAACGTTTGCTACAAACAGAAAAAAGATTATTTTAAAAATTAAGTAAAAATAAACAAAGTTCTATAATTTCCTTCAAATAATTAAATGTATAAGTCTAAAGAGATACGTGAGTAAGATCTGAGAATTCCACATGAGCCAAAGTGTACCTGTTTTAAAAAAACAGTCTAGGCCAAATTATGAGTATGATTTATAATTTATAATTTTTTTAAATTAAACGCTAAATTTATAAAGTACCATTGAAATATTACATTTAATTCTGGATAAAAAATTTTATGGTGGATGCTATCAAACACAGACATCCAGAAAGATAATAAGAAGAATGCATAAATCATCTGTTATAAGGAATGGTTGAAGTAACCAAGGTATTTAACCTGAGGAAAAATTTAAGGTGTATTTAAAAGCCTGAAGGTGATAAGGTGCAGTGATGCATGTCTGTAATCTCAGCTGCTTGAGAGGCTGAGGCACGAGGACAGCAAGTTTGAGGCCAGCCTGGGAAACTTGACAAGACCCCGTTTCAAAATAAAATTTGAAAATAAAGTAGCAAGAGCTCTACTGTTTCCTGAGTTTGGAAGCCTCAAGTTCACTCTCAAGGGTACTGTAAAAAGAATTTCTATACTGGAAAGAATTTTGCAGCAGAATGACTGAGATATTTACCTATAGCAATAATTCATATTAGACTAAGGTAAAGTTCCTTCTTAAGGAATAAGCTTATTATTTATCTCTAGAAAGTGAAGTGTACTTTAAACATTCTGCATAACCAAAAGCCACATGATTTTATGAAGTGAGTTTGTCTATGATGTTCCATGCAGACTTTGGTTTGGTTTGTCCTTCGATATAATGTAGTTCTGCTAAAAGAAAATCCCTCAACTGCAGGAACTAATCTACACTTGACCACATGTCACTATTTATGCAGGATGTCAGTGACCTGCAAATGAACACTGCATGTGAAGTGGCCAGCACACCCACACTGTCCTGAATGGAATAGTATCTTGTGCACCAACCCAGACTGCAAGTGGTAGGGCTGGGGCTGAGGGCCGGAGGGAGAGGCGAGGCCTTAACTCCACAGCCCATGTCCATAACTACCACACTGCATTAATATTTGCAGAGCCTGGCAGATTGGAGGCCCACAGCCTCTGGTAAACAGCTCTGGAATGAGGTGAGAGAAGATGGAAGACTGTTGGAGAATAGGCAAAACATATTCAAAAACACTATAAAAGCCAGGCGTGGTAGTGCATGCCTGTAATCCCAGCACTTGGCAGGCTGAGGCAGGAGGCTCGATGTGAGTTTGAGGCCAGCTTGGGCTACATAAGTGAGTTTAAGGTCAGTCTGCACTACAAAGTGAGACCCTGTCTCAAAAAGAAAGAAAGAAAAAAAAAACACTATAAAGTTTTCTGGCCCCAAAATTTCCTCAACTACCTACCACCTGGGCCTACCAGATCCTGACATTTCATTACAGACATGTTATAAAGGAGGTTCAGTTCTCAGGAGGGTTTCGTGTTGGAAAAAGCAGGGAGTACTGAGGAGGAGAAAGAAAATATGAGAAGTTCCAGAAAAGGTGCTCAATGAGCACATGGAAAATACAAGTAGAATTCTATACTGACTTAGAAACCAAGCACAGATGTAACTCTGCAGAAATCAGGTGAAGGGGACTCAGGAATTGGACGCTGTTTTTGTCTCATGGTGCCTCCATTCTTCTTTCCCCTGTGTTTTTCACTCCTCTCTTCCTATTCTGTCTTCCTTGTCCGGTTCCCTTCATTTCCTTTTTCCCAGTTGACTGCGTATTTATCTCTCCTGCCAGCTCCCCCCACGTAAGGGGTGTGACTTTACAGTTAAGTACTAGTGGCCTCTGCCACAAATGGCAAAGAGTAGGAACTGCTGCCAGCAGTTATTATTGAGAGTTAACAATGTACATAGCATCAAAAGCTATAAGATGCAAAATAACACAGGGTGTACACTCCTGGGAGGCTTATGGCTACAACACACACAAAGGAAAAAGAGAACTATAGTATGATGGTTGCTTTTCTGTTTAGCTTGGCCGGGCTATGGTGCCCAGTCGTTTGGTCAAACACTAGTCTAGATGTTTTTGTGAAGATATGCGCAGAAGTGATTAACACTATGATCAGCTGATTTCAAGGGAAACAGATTACCTTCTATAATGTGGGTAGGACTGATCCAATTAGTTGAAGACCTTACAAAGATTGTTTTCCAAGGAAGAAGGGATTTTGCCTCAAGATGACAACATAAAACTATTGCCTGTGAATTTAGGATTTAAAACTATAACATCGGGGCTGGGGATTTAGCTCAGCGGCAAAGCGCCTGCCTGGCAAGCGCAAGGTCGTGAGTTCGGTTCCCGGTACCGGAGAAAAACCAAAAAAAAAAAAAAAAAAAAACTGTAACATCATCACCTACCTCAATTTCCAGTCTGTCAACATCCCCCATAGACTTCTGACTTGCTTGCACCAAAAAAATCACTAAAGCCAACTTCCCATATGCTCTACCTCTCCCTAATGCATTAGGTATTATCCTACAAGTTTTGTGTAGATCCTCAATATATTAGTAAATAAGGCTAGTCAATTATTCTGCAGCTTAAGAGGGTCAATGATCAGTAGCAACTATTTCTTACAACTAGACAAGCTATATCTCAAATTTCTATAAGTATCATTCACTTAAATTGATATTCACTCACTTTAAGATAAATCAGTTGAAACTCACTGACTTTTAAAATTTTGACAAATTGTTCTGTATCATTGATGGTCAATTTTTAGAGCTTTCAAAGAAACAAAGAGCCCACTGGAGCATGTGTACCATAGGTTCAGCACCACTGTTCTATATATTATATACCTAAGAGGTTATTTTTAAAGGTTTCTTTTTCTATTTTAAAAAATAAAAGAAGGAAAACATATTAACAAACAGACATCCATTTACAAAACAGCATAAGAACAATACAAACAAAACAGCGTTACAGACAAAGTTGTAGGAAATTAACCATGCTTGCTGTATTACTTATTGATATCTTCAAAGTGGTTTCTCAGAAAAACAAATAGAGACATGCAAGATTGATCAAACAAGTAATCGTTAACTGTTCCTTTCTGTAGAGCAATAGAAGATAGTAGTACAACTATGTTAGCTATCCTGTATATACATACGGACATAATTTCCCCTTCTTTCCCTTCTCTTTTCCCAGATCCCAATTGCCCTTTACTTTTGAGCATTTTCCTTCCATTTCACAATGTCTATCATACCTCCTAGTTTTTATTCACTCTTTCAGGTCTTACACTAGTAAGACAATACAGTGCTTACACATGCAGGTCTAATTTATTTCACTTATGAGTATGGTCTCTAGTTGTGACCATTTACCTATTAAAGGTTTCTTTTTTATTAATACATGTTTGCAATACACAATGAACACATTCATCATGGGGAGCTGGTAAATATACATATTTTTACTTGCTTTCCCCTCCCCTCTTTCCCATTCTATTATTTTTTCTTGATTTTCTATCTTTGATTTCTAAAAAATATCTACAGCATACAAACCAACATTACCATGTATTTGTACAATCTTCTGTTGCCAGGAAAGGTCTCTGTAAGCTTAGATGCTGCATGGTCTTCCTTTCCTAATCAGAGTGTTTTCACTTAGATATAATATATAGTCTGAAGCTTTTGTATGTTTCTTTATCTGCAAAGGCGTACTTTAATTCTAAGTGTCTTCCATCTTTTGGTTAAGGTTAACAGGGAGTATTTCCCTCTTACTCTAAATTATCTGCCAGTGAAGATATTGCCTTAAATTATCACATTAAGCTTAATAGCAGTGTTGGTATAAGTCACCTCTGGCTTATAGGAAATGTGTTTTAAAAATGTTAACTGTAGGCCAGGTGCAGTGGTACATGCGTGTAATCCCAGCTACTTAGAAGGCTGAGGCAGGAAGATCACAAGTTTGAAGCCAGCCTAAGCAACTTAGTGACACACTGCCTCAAAATAATTTTTTAAAAAAGGGCTGGAACTATAGATTAGCTATAAAGAGTCCCTAAGTTCAATATCTACCACTGAGAAAAAAAAACCCAGAAAAGTCAACTGCAGAGTAGAAAGCAATAATGTCATGCTGCCCCTCTATTTTGGTGCATGCTACACATTAAATAGCAGGTGTTGATTTCCTCTGATATTTGAGATTGACAGCTTGACTCTTAACATTCTCACAATCATTATGTTTAAACTACACACATCCATGACACATTTCAGACTGCTGATTTTATAACTACTCTGTATATAAATAAATGATTAAGAAAAAAATCCAAACAGGATAATTTCTAACTTCCTATAGTCATACCTGCACAGGTGAATGTGCCTCTATATGAGCAGGGATGCAGTCCCACAGCAAGCTCTCAGGTATGCTTACATACCAAGAAAGAGAACTTAAGTCACCCAAAATCTATTTCATATAAAAATCAGACAGAACATTCCAACTACTATAAATCAAGAGATTTCCGAAGGGAACAAAATATAGAAAATTTCTGACAAGTTTATACGACAATGATGTGGCTGAAAGCCCTCCTGTCTCCCATGAAACATAATGTACTTTGGAAGACATTTAAAAGAAAACAAACCCCAGCCATTATTTTAAAGGATTATTTAGTAGCATTTGAAATATAAAATTTCACTTTTACCATTCAGTTGACATGTGTCCTAGTAAAGCATGCAGTTATCAGTCATACACAACGTGCAGCATGCAGTAAACGGACAGCAGAGGTTAATAACCTGGCGGCATAGGATCTGAGAATGTGAGAGCAAGTTAAAGACAAGAGTTCCTCTCCATTGTCACTGAGGGCCGAGAAGCAATGCTGAAGCGTAGAACAGTGGGAGTGGGGGAAATACAGTTTGTCCAACATATAAACATATCTCCGCAAGTGGCGGCAGGTATAACTGAAAGACAAGGTAAAAGGAGAAAAACAGAAAGAGAGAAATTTTCCTTCGAAAAAATAAATTATTCTTTATGTCTTCTAAGCTTTCTGTATATCTTCACTAGACGATGCCCCCCCCAAACTACAACTGTTAAAAGAGAACATTAAAAGAGACAATCCAAATAAAAAATGAGCAAAAGATTTGAACAGACACCTCACCAAAGAAGATATACAGATGGCCAATAAGCACAAGGAACGGTGTTCCACATCATATATGATTAGGGAAATGCAAACTAAAATAAGACACCACTACAGACTCACCAGAACAGCTGAAAAACCCAAAATACTGTATAACACATGTTGGCGAGAATGGGGAGCAACAAAACCTCTCACTCACTGGAGAGAATGCAAAGTGGCATAGACACTTCGGAAGACACAAAATTAAACAAATTCATACTGTAGAACCTGACAATTGTACCCCTTTGAATTTATCCAAAGGAGTTAGAAATTTACATCCATACAAAAAACTGGACATGAATGTTTACAGTAGCTTTATTTGTAATTGCAAAAACTTGGAAGCAACCAAAATGTCCTTTCATTAGGAAAATGGATAAGCTGTTTTACATCCAGAAAACAAAGTATTACACAATGCTAAAAAGAAAAAAGCTATCAGGTCATGAAAAGACAGAAGAACCCAAATGCATATTACTTAGTGGAAGAAGTCAATCAGTGAAGTCTACACACTATGATTCCAACTTTACGTCATTCTGAAAAAGGCAAATCTATGAAGTCAATAGAAAAATCAGCTGTTGCCAGGAGTTAAGGGGGTGGGGATAAACAGGCAAAGCAAAGAGGAGTTTTAGGGCAATAAAAATATTCTATGTGATACTACAATGGTCATTACATATTTGTCTAAACCTACAAAACATACAAAAGCAGTAGTGAATCCTAATGTAAACACTCTAGACTTTGGATGATAATCATGTGTTAATGCAGGTTCATCATTTGTAACAAATACTTTGGTACAGAATGTTCATCATGCTGGACAGTGAGTATTTAGGAATGCTCTGTGTTTTCTTCCTCATTTTACTGTGAACCTAAAACCTCTTTTTAAAAACATGGAGGGGGGAATATACCCACAGGGGGAAAAGTATGAAACTATGATGGTGTAATTAGTGAGCCACATGAGCTCAGCCATGGTAGAACAAAGTGGCCATAGGTATTTTCTCCTCAGAGTGCTACCAAATGCATTCCTGGCAGCCGTGCAATAATATTAGTAGGCTAAATGAGAGATGCTATGGCAAAAGAGTTCTCTGACTGAATTAGGGGTCAGAAAATTTAGGATCCAGACTCAGCTCAGCTACTGGCAGTTTTATAACAGTGGGTATTTGATCTCTTTGAACCTCAATTCCACAAACAACACAGAACTAAACACCTTAAACTACTGCAAATTTTTGAAGAGATACAAAAAAAATGTAAAACAGTAAGGGGAACAATAAAAGTTACGATTACTACCAGAGGAATTTCACTGGAGCCACATTTCAAGTCACTTAAACATAACAAGTTGCAAAGAAGAAAATGCAAAATCAGTCGGACAAGGTGAACAACAAAACAGTGAACACACCAAGTAATGTGTCTAGACTGCCAGCCTTTGAGAACTGTGTCAGAGAATACGACCAAACATACAGCAAATCACTAAAGGAATGACATGTTTTAAACCATGTTGAACTCAAAATAAAACTAATAAATTAGATGATTTAAAATGGTCAAATTTTCACAATCGAATAATCCAAGTATCCATTTAACCACTAACCAACCAACCAACCAGCCAACCAACTACTGTAGGCCAGACACTATTTCCTACCTAGTACATGAAGAAGTATGCTAGACACTGAGGATAATGTACGGCACAAATCAGAAGTCCTTACTTTTATTGGGCTTACAACCTGGAGGGAAAGACCAATATGAAACAATAACGAAACCACACTGGAAACTAAGTAAGTCTAACAAGCTAGTAATGTCCAAGATAAGGTAGAGTTTCAAAAGTCTTTTAAAATAGGTATATACTTAAATAGATATGTCTACTGGACTCCAAGACTCAATCCACCACAAAAACTTAAGAAAACATAAAAACTGCGTACCCATGTTTACTGCAGCACAATTCATAATAGGCAAGATATGGCACAAACCTAGGAGCCCATTAACAGAAGGATAAAGTAAGTATCTCTCTCTCTCTCTCTCTCTCTGTCTCTCTCTCTCTCTCTCTCTCTCTCTCTCTCTCTCTCTCTCTCTCTCTCTCTCTCTCTCTTCTCTCTCACATACACACACACGCAAATTCAGCCATAAGGAAAAACAAAATTCTGTCATTTACAAGAAAATAGAAGATGAAACTGGAGACCATCACGTTGACTAAAATAAGCCAGACAGACACAGAAAGGCAAGTATTACATGTTCTCCCTAATATGTAGAATCTAAAAAGATGAGACAAAAGTAAAAAGCAGACTATTCTTAATAGGATGAAGGGAATAAGAGGGACGGAGAAGAGTGAGGGCAGGCAACAGGCTGGATGGATGTGAGCAAAATATATTATATACCTTGAAACACTTCCCCTAAAATGTGAAATGGGGGAGCAGGAGAAAGAGGGTGATGAGAAGCTGAAAATGATCAAAGCACATTATGTACACAGAGGAATCTGCCAAAATGCAGTCCACTAATCTACATAAGCAATAAAAAAAACCAAACCATAACAACTGTGTTGTTTAAAAATGTGATTCACCATGACTATAAACAAGTGATCACAGTTAATGCTCTCTGGGAAAGGAGGGGAGGAGGGCAATGGGACAAGCACACATCACGTGAGTCCTGATTATGATCACAGCACAGCACAGCACAGATCTGTTCCCAAGAAATTAGACAAACCTAAATGGAAGGTCACTTTACAAAAACCAGTTTTGTATTCTTTAACTTTTGAAGGCCATGCAAGACAAAGATCAAGGACTGTTTCAGACTAAAGAAGATGAAAGAGAACAAACAAGTAGCATGTGGTTCTGTAATGGACCCCCTACTATGGGGTGGGAGTAGTTTCCAGAGAGGGAATTAACGAGGCAAATGACAAAATTTTAATGCTGGAAGACAAGCTTTTAAAATCAATGTTAAGGCCAGGCATGGTAGCGCATGCCTATAATCCCAGCACTTGGGAGGCTGAGGCAGGAGGATCGTTGCAAGTTTGAGAGTAGCCTGGACTACAAAGTGAGCTCAAGGCCAGACTGAGCTGCAGAGTGAGATCCTGTCTCAAAAAAGACAAAAAAATAAAATAAAATAAAATCAATGTTAGTTTCCTGATTTTGATAATGCCCTTATTTTTAAGAGATACACACTAAAGTAATTAGTGGTACACAGTACAGCACATGTTTAAAAATTCATTAAACAGTTTAAAGAAGAGTTGAATACAATGACAAAGCAAATATAAAATTTTAACATCTGTAGAATCTGTGAAAGGTAAAAATTATTTGCACTATTTTTGCAACTTTCTTCTAAGTCCAATTTCAAGATGAAAAGCATTAAAAATAAATACAATATCAAAAACATCAAAAACTAATTTAATCTGAAAAAAAAGAACTGATATTTTTGATAAACTAAATAATTTCCATTTTTAAATTATGGGATTAAAATCTAGACCCCTTAAAATGTCATTTCGACTTCTATACTTAAAGCTTGGGAACATCAGAAAAACTATAGCGTGGGAAGTAAGCAAATGTGGTCTGGAGTTATCCCATAAAAAACAGTCACTTTTACTTAAGAGTTGTATTTTCATAACAACTTTTTACTAACTTAATTTATATGCTTAGAATGCTTAAAAAAATGAAACTAATGGGGATAGACTGAACTTTTAAGGACTACCCAGATACTCTGTACCCAACTTTTCTCTTTTTCAGTTCCTTCCCTTCCCTTCCATTTCCTTCTTTCTCCTCCTTCCTTTCCCTTCTTTCATATAGAAAGTTTGTTAACAGATCCATTAGTAGAGATATAAAATATCAAAAAATTAACAAGAAAAGTGTAGGGCCTCTATGAAGTAAATTATAAAAATTTACTGTTAAGCACAAAAAAACCCCTAGAACAAATAAAGGTATGCCAGTATGTTTCTGGATGCGAGGATGATTTATAGTAATAAAAGATGCCATTATCCTGCACAGATTCTAAATCAGGTCTTGTTTTAAAATCAATTTTGAGTTGATGTTTGCATATGACATGAGATAATGGCCCTATTTCTCTTTTCTGTGTGTGGATTTCTACATTTTCCAGTATCATTTACGGAAGAGGTTATCCTTTTCCCTTTAAGCATTCCTGGTATCTTTGAGGAAAAATCAACTGATCATACCTGTGTGGGTTCACTTCTGGTCTCTTTATGTTGCATTGGTTAATGTGTCCTTTTTGGCCAGTAACACGCTGTTTTAATTATTACAGTTATGTGGTATAGTTTGAAACCAATTAATATCACTTGCTTTGTTCTCTTTTGCTGATGACTAATGTAAAGCATTTTGTGCTCATGATTAACTTGGCTATTCGAGGCTTTCTGTCTTGTCTAAATTTGAATAATTAAGCTGATTCTGTAAATCACTTTGGGTACTATTGGCATTTTAGCAATATTAAGTCTTCTAGACCATGAACACTGATTTTTTCCATTTATTTGTATTTTCTCCAATTCCTTTCATCAGCTTTTTATAGTTTTGGGTGCACAGGTCATTTACCTTTTTGGTTAAATTTATTCCTAAGTACTTTTTGTACTACTATAATTGGGACTATTTTCTTGATTTCTTTTTTGGATAGCTCACTGTTAAACTGAATAGAAATGTCAGACATTTTTGAGTACTGATTTTATACCGTACAACTCTACTGCATTTGTTTATTATTAGTTCTATAGACATTTGTCTATAGAACAAATAGTCTATAGTTGTCTGGTAGTGTCTGTACAGTTTTCTATATTAGAAGAAATATGTTGTCATAAGCAGTGACAATTTTACT